TAAGAAGGAAGGTTTAGGGTCATAGGAAACAGGTGTAAGAGACAAAATATCACATACCTGAGAGGTAAAGTCTGAAAAGACTGATGATGGATGAGCTGAATCATTAGGTAGTGAATGGGAGGATGCAGCAAACTTCGGGTGAGTGTGTGTGTGGGGGGGCAAATGATCAAAATCATCTTCAACCTGGCCCGGCCCGAAAGGCTCAGGAGGAAGTGGGGCCGAAGTAGGCAAGAGAGGTTGGCTTATACACTGCTAAATCTTCTGGTGAATGAGCGACGATATATCTTCCAACAGGTTGCCCATGCCTGAAAATACGATATCAGATGCTTGCAAAATACCCAAAGTGGTGATTGTAACTTCGGAATTCATAAGCAGGAATCACGAGGGTGTAATGCTATATCAAAATATTAACTCCACAACTGTGAAGTGTAGTAAATAAAGTTAAGAAAAATAGAAAAAATAGAAAAAAAATAAATCATTTCAAGGTAACTGAACAATGTAAAAAAGAATGTCTGAACTCAACAGCTGCCAAACGAGAAGTGATAATTCGGTAGTGGCACGTAGAGGGAGTAACATGCGTCATGTGATAGTGGTGCTCTCCTGTTGGTGGACAGGTGACATATGATTTGCATGAGAGACATGTTGGAACTTTGGATTCCAACAGAGGGAGGATGAAGGCTTGTGGCATGCATTTCTGAAAAAGTTTGCATATAGAAGGCAGCACAAAACAAGAAAAGCTAATCTTGAGTGGAGGGAGAGTACCTTATTGGAAACACCCATAAATATTTCAAACAATTCTGAATTTTTTGAGTGAGGTGAATGGATATGAAGGTTAGATACCAGATTGTGTAACAGTAGGTTGATGTATACTGTGTTTTGTGAAGTATTAATGTTGAAAATACCGTTGCAATATGATAACCTAAACAGAAGACAATTTATAACAGCTGTTTTTACAAGCTTCCAATTTCCTATAGCCAAACATATGATTCACGATTCAAAAAGAACACAACCTTACTGTTCTTAGATATTCTCAGATACAGTATCTAACATCAATGCACAATAAAACCTATTTACAAAACAAAAAATTCCCAGTCCAACCAGTAACCTTCAGTAAAACACAAAATTATCAAATAGATTAAAAGATGGAGTCAGAAGAAAACTGATTAAAACCAGCATGAAAAATAAAAAACTTCATAAATATTGCAATAACGTATAAAACTACTCAACCTAAAGAAAACCAATGTAAAAATCAATACCACAATAATGTTAAACACAATATTAAGCTTTAAGATTAAAAGAACTTACCTTAATTTAAATTTCTAAGTTTATTTACATAGAAGAAAACACTCAAGATTTTCAATCATAGTGAAACAACAAAAAATAACACAAAGTAGTGATTAACAAAGTTCTTAGCTCAAGTGGCAACCCAAATAAAGAAGAAATCCGGAGAAACATTAAAGGATGGGTTTGTTACAAAACTAATATATGCTCAAATTACTGCCACAATATAACATTAGACTACCCATATCATCAAAACCTGGAAAAATATCCAAAATGAAAGGTGGAAAAATAAACAAAGAAACAATATTCAATAAGATATGCCAACTACCTCAATAAAAATCAAGATTTAAAGATTTGTAATGTTTGGACTTTAATCCTCCCCAAACAATGCATGACAAAGAACAACAATGAACTGCTTATTTCTAAAACACATCACAGTCACAGCAATAGGAAAACTTCCTTAGAGTGTAAACAATTAGTCAGCAACAATACAGAAGTATCAATAATAAGTGTAACCCTAAACATAAAAACCATAATCCCTCAAGAATTAAGGCAAAAGCAGCTAATAAAAAATACTAATGCTACATGGCTATCTCTAATTCCAGTTAAAGAAATATTTATTGCTTTAAGTTAAACTTACAATGATAAAAGAGTTAAATAAAATTTCCAGAACATAACCTACTGGCAAGTAGTCTAATGAGTAAAAATAGAAAAATGCTACTAAAATCTTGATGCAGCTTTCATTTACAAACATCAATTGTACAAATAAGACTTTAATGCAGTATTACAATTACTAACTTTTGTTTTACATTTAACTTTTTAACTGACAAAAGGTTTCAAAACAGCAACTGAATGAAATTCTGATCTTGGGGTAAAACACCTCTCTCTAACTTAAGATATTTCAGGGTATTAAAAAAATTAAACTTTGTTTCTATTTTTCAGTAAAAAATGTAAATACCCATGTTTTTTATAAATATTTTTTAGACTGGCTATACATAAATCACATCCACTAGAATTCAACATCAGTTACATACATTTGTTTTTCTTTTTGACAGATACAGATATCATCACTCATAATAAAAAGCCTTGACATAAATGTATTTTCACTTGATAAACAACAAACTACTGGAAATCAGTGTGATTTGTTAACTTTTTAACAAATCAGGTTGTCATTTATGGCAACCAACTGACAGAAACTAGTACTGCTTTCAACATTATTAACATAAAACTGTTTATATAAAATTTCCTGAAAATTTCAAAAATTATGTATTAGAATTAAAATGAAGTTTAAAGATATACTCATTTCCACTATGGCTTTAAACTAATGACTTGTAGTTCATGTCAAGAAACAGATCCGATTTTCCATTTCCAATTTTTCCACCATCCTTCTGCATACAATTTTCTTCTATGTAAAATAACTACATATTTTCCCATCATTATAGGGATTGCACAGGAATTTGCTCAAAACTCTAATAGAACATTCTGCCAAAAACTACCTTAAAAAGCAGACTTATTCTTGAAATAATATCCAAAAATCCCAGATGTACTAAATACTGTGTTGGTACTAAATGGGATGTGGATTGTGGATGATTCATCCACGAGATATAGCTAATCATGTGGTCAAATGAGTGTGTGCAAGATAGTTAGTGGTCAGAATAAGCCAAATGTGTATGTAATAGTGAAAGTCAATATCAAGGTGTGGGAGAATACCATCAAAAGCTTTGACTACTTGACAGGAAACATACAGACAGATGAATAAGTATATTAACCTTTACCATCCAATGGCCTCAACAAAGAAATTTACATAATATCATCATGTTTTCCAGTTTT